GATATGGGAGTTGCGATGCTGTTGCAAAAAAGCAAATGCAATTTTAGGTTGCAATTGTAGGTTGCATTAACAGAGGCATAGAATGCAAGTCAGAGGAGATGATAGTACTGCTCTACTCAACACTGGTTAGGGTTCAGTGTCCTGTGTCCAATTTTGGTCACCAATGTATAGAAAGGATGTGGAGAAACTGGAAAGGATCCAGAGGCAAGCAACAGAGTGATGGAATGCAAGCCATATGAGCAAAGGCTGAAGGAACTGGGTATGTTTAGTTTGGAAAAAAGGAGATTAAGGTGGGACATAATAGTGGTCTTCAAGTACTTGAAAGGCGGCCATAAAAAAGATGGAGAAAGTTTCTCTCTTTTGCCACAGAGGACAGGACAAGAGACAATGGGTTCAAACTACAGCACAGCAGATTTAGATTAAATCTCAGGAAAAAACTTCCTAACTGTAAGAACAGTAGGACAATGGAACAAGACTGCCTCGGGAGGTGGTGGAAGCTCCTTTGCTAGAGGTTTTCAAAAGGAGGCTGGATAACCATCTGTCTTGTATGGTTTAGACACAACAAATCCCGCATCCTGGCAGGGGGTTAGACTGGATGACCCTTGTGGTCCCTTCTAGCCCTATGATTCTATATCCCTCTATAATCTGTTCCAGTGTCTAATTAAAATCTCCCCCACAAGCCCTCTCCTTTTAAGCAAACATGGGTTATACATAAGAGATTTCTAAAGTCTGAAATGGCCTGTATACTAATATGCTTAGTTCTAAAAATGGATTTTGTTTCATGTCTGATGATTGCCCTCTTAGGAAAAAGTTCTAAAAATGACATACTGTTTTGGCAAACATCTAGAACATTTCTGAAAGGTCTTTTGCACAATCCAGAATGATTCTGGTTTCTCCCAACCTTCTGGAATTACTGCATTTGTTATGCTCTGTCATCTGCAGTAAATAACAGATGTTTTGTTTGCTAAATTTCAGCATTTACTTCCTGGAGAAAAATAATTAACACTGGCAGGAGTTTGATTGTATCAATTCACAGAAAGAAACACCCAAATGATAAATCCATAGTGGGAGAACTGCCCATATGTTACAGATTGGCTTAACATGGATGAGGCATTAAATAAACTAAGTCTGAAAAATACAAACCTTATCAGCTTTATTAGCGTTGAACTCTGTGGCTTCCATTGGGGCTGACACACTTAATTAAAGATGCTCTGGTCTAATTAGGTTGCACATCAAATATACAATTACAAGTGTTTAAAAAAAATCTAGCTGAGCTGCAGTTCCGAGTGATATGAATATTTATTTTCTTCAGGTAGGATCCATCAAGAGAAAAGCATTGTTAGGTCAGATAATACCAAAAAAAAAAAAAAAGGGACTGCAGAAGCTAGAATATTCCTTGCAATGAATGATGCATAGACCTTCAGTCTGGATGTGGCTAGAGAAGACAACTATGGACTAAGGGGAGACAATACTTTTTGTCTGTCTTTTTTTAATCATTATCTGATAGGATAGTTTAATTTTATTGGTGACTAGCTCATGGAGAAATCCATCGTATTCAGTTGATTTACTACCTAAATGACTGATTCTGCAGCCACTTTGTGGGCCCATACCAACCTCCACTAAGGTCAATGGGAAGACAACTATTGAGTTAGTAGAAGTTGGATCAGGCCTAGATGTCAGTGGGAGTTCTGCAGGTGGAACACCTGGAAAATGAATGGCAAACTGGGAGGAACCTATGTGTTACACTGGGATGCAGGAGTAAAAGCCTGTCTTGCACCTCGATATAATTTTGCTTAGTGGCAAGAAATTGCATAAAGGACTGTGTACTCTGTGCTGTTTTACATTTAGGAGTAGATTTGGGGTTAGACTTCTGGAACCGTTTAATACTGTTTCTTGCAGAAATGGGGAGAATGACCAGAGTGATTTAGTGCTAGAAGGGGGAGCAACACAAATGGCAGGATGCTCTGAATGATTTTTAGCTTTTCTTGCTTTTTTTTCATTGTGTGTGAGTTCACTGAAGAGTTCAAACTCGTATCAGAGTTCAAGAAAGAAGCCCCATCACCTTGCTCAATAAATGAGTCACCTATGCAAACTGACTGACTTGTAAGTGGACATAATTTCCCCAGAAGTTTAATGTAAGTCATTTGTGCTGAATCATGATAATACCTAGCTGTTCTGTAGTGCTTTTCATCAGTAGCTCTCAAAGCACTTTACAAGGGATGTGTACTGTAATCAACAACACTTTCAGGACCAAATGTGCAGTGTGTCTCTTAGGGCTGGTCTACGTGGCAAGTTACTGCATGACAAGCAAGGTGTGAATCTACACCGCGCCAGCTTGCCACACAGTAATGTCCCACTGCTACGCATCCAGGGCTTTGTGCTGGAGCAGTGTCCACATGGGACATTACTGTGTGGCAAGCTGGTGTGCTGTAAATTCACACCCTGGCTTGCCATGCAGACAAGCCCTTATTAAGGACACGAAGCTGCTTTGAGCTTTAGAACGGATACTCCAAATCAGTTCAGTAGAAACAATTCCTACTGGGCCACTTCCACAACTCTCTGCACCTGCTGTGGTCAACTACTTCTTCCGGGGACTGACCAGAGCAGGGTGGATTCACAGCTGGGTAGCCCTTGGGACTTGTAGCAGGGACAAGGCTGCTGACCATGCCCTCTTTGTTTGAAGGCTGGGGTACTAGTTTCCTTTCCACATTGCATTGTGTTCAATGTCATGCACTCATAGTCTGTAACTTAGTGTCTTACTTTTCTCAGCTATGTGCTACTTAGTCAGCTACCTGCAGGAGCAAAAGGTTGCCTGCAAGAACATAAACTATGGCAGAAAATGTGGCCTTGTATGTTCTTCCATAAATATTGGTGAGTTCAGAATAGAGTGGCATCTTTATCAGTGACTATCCTGGCTTTTTTCTTTAAGATGAAGTTAGACATTTAGGAGTAGATGCACCCTCTTTCTCTTTTCTGAACATAGATTTTGTTATGAGACCTTACAGAGGCTGCTCATTTTAAACTCTGCTTCAGGGCAAAAATATTAATGGCATACTTTAAATAAAACATAACATGTGTTTTGTACTAACATATGTATCATTGTCCCCCTAGCTGGAGCTGATATAATTTCTGACACGGTGTGCTATGCTCATGCAAAATTGATGATATAGCATTGCATAAGAATGAATGTGTTCCTTTAAAATACTGTTCTTTCACTGTCAGAACCCCACTCAGGTTTTAGTTTCAGGAACCAAAATTTTTCCTCACTATGACTGTTTCAGTAAAACACTGCGTAGGTGATGGGCAGCTTAAACCCTAGGCACTAGGTGGTTGATCCTGTTTTTCTTATGTAGCTGATACTCCATCAAACTCAATGGGATTTTTGGGTGCACACCCAACATACATCTTCTGTTAGGCTACTGGAAGGGCAGGTCAATAAATACTTATCAGACTCATGGATAGATGAGCAATTCCCTGCTTCTACATCTGTATTAATGCCAAAACTTTTCAGCTTCTAAACTTCATAGGAAAAAATTCACTCCATTAGTACCTTCTTAGAGGAAGTCATTGGAGATCATACTCAGAAAATCTAGAGAACTTTTTTTTGCTTTTATACAGATATCATTTATTTATAATGTAATCCTTAGGGATGCTAATCATGGTTTAGGGCTCCATTGTGCAAGGTTCTGTACAAACACAACATAAAGAAAGGCCCTGCCCTGAAGAACTCACAATCTAAATAGAAAACAAGAGACAACAGGTGGTACAACAAACAGACGGGGGAGCACAAGATAACAGTGAGACAATATAGGCACCACTTTGGCTGTCCATTTGGAAAATGCCAGTTTGACAAGGCTAACAAAGAAATGTTAACATCCTGGGAAGGATGAATGATTTTTGTTTGAAAACTACAACTATCAGTGGCACTTGATGAGTGAAACACATTATTGGTTTTCTCTCTCTTGTTTGTGTTTCTATGGTTTTGGTCTGATTGACATAGGATGGACAGTTACAAATGCAAGGGGCAACATTCCCATTCATTGCAGTAGGACAGGATTTCACCCAAGATATCAAAGAACATATTCACTTTCTGGTTGGATGGGTGCATTATACAGGTGGGATATGGTGTGTAGGTTTTCTGCTCAATCATTATAGCTTCTTAGATCCAGACAAATTAAGAATGGAAAAGCATTTTAAAATTGATTAGTTGGAACTTTAGGTGGTGGCAAAATAATGTTTGGGTTTGTTTCCATATGAAATATAGCATTGCATAAGAATGAATGTGTTCCTTTAAAATACAGTTCTTTCACTGTCTCAGTGACAATGAACCTACGAGAGTTGTAAGCTCTTTGGGACGGGGCCAACTTTTTGATCTGTGTTCAGTGACTAGCACAATGGGGTCCTGGCTCCCCAAGTAGGGCTCCTACACTCTACCTCATACAAATAATAACAAACAATAATAATAGCATAGGAGAGCAGCAGCTGAACTTAATGCAAGTATTTCCATTGTAAACATCTGTTTTCAGAAATTTATCATAAGGGGGTTAAAATGGACTGTTGGGTGAGACTTGGCAGAAAAGCAGGCGCCGAACGTTTGTTTACATATTTAGCCACCATCTCAACCACACCAGAAAGTGTGTTTGTAAGTCCCAACCATCCATACCTGTAATCTATACCAGCCAACAAAGAGGGAAATCTTTTTCAGCTCTGTTCTTAACTATTATACTGAAGGATTTGGCTATGTTTAACTGGTGAAGGTGAAAACCTGGTTTTTTTGACACTGATTTTGTCACTACCAAATCTGGCCTGTGTCATTTTACAAGATGCGTACTGAAGGAAACAAAGGTTCCTGCAGAGCATTCGCTGCTTACCACAGAAGATGCACAGTGACTGAGGCATGTGCTCCAGGCACTGTAATGAGTGTAGACTGATAGCCAAGATCCCAGATTTCTCTCTCTTCTGCAGGCTGGCACCTCTAACAGTCCATTGTCTCCTAACAGTGTGCTGGGGTATCGGCTCAACAAGAGGATCACCTCCTGAATCACCTTAGTTGGAAGGGGTGAACTGAACACGGTTGAATCTCATATTAGAGGTAAAATAATCTTGCTGTACGGGGCGTCACAACTCTGATTAATACACTTGGTTCTGTTTCCCTATTTCTGGAGCCCTAATACAATGAACGGTATTTTACAATAAATATCTCTCTTTTATTAGCGTTTCTGGTCTGTTGATTTGTTTCCTATTTTACGATGTTTAGACAGACAGATTTGGACCATTAAAACTCCACTCAGGCTTGATACATTGGGGCTGCCTGACACACAATAACACTGATATATTAGTCCAGATGAATCTCTAATTAGATTTTTGGCAGGACTGTCACAGTCAGAGAAACTTTCCCTAAGTGCTCCATTGAAATGATGCTTTTTGCAACCTCATGTAATGAAGGCCATCTTTTAATTAAGCAGGTCCTCTCAAAAGGACATCAAACTTAATGCCCTTTTTCCATTGGCCTTTGCCCTTGCAGTGTCAGCCTTCTCAAGCATACTCCTCCATGGCATGATTTAGGCAGTATATTAAAAAGTACATAAAACGAATAAAAGTAAGTAAAAAGTGATAGCTGAAGCTTGCCATGAAAGTTACGGTGTATGTAGGATTACAGTTTTAAACCCAAATGCAACAGTTAGTTTGGGAAATTATTATTTATGTAGTCCTTGAAATGTTTAGGGCCACAAAATGACTGTATGATTGCACAATAGTACCAGTGTTGTGTAAAATCTCAAATGTTATGACTGTCTTATTGTAACTATTGAATGAAAGAGCTTGTTAAATACAGTTTCTGTTTCCAATAAAATGTATATGAAATATTTTGACCTGATTGAGGCATCTAGGAGCTACTAGAATATAAATATGAAATAATAATATATAATTGTTTATAACTACACTGAAGGTAACAGAGTTCAACAGAGCTATGCAAGTTTACACGAGCAGCTTAATTTGGCCAAATTTTCAGTGGGTGGTGGACAAATATTTGCGCACGCTGATTTATGCATGCAAGATCAGATGTGCGCATGCAAATAATGAATGAATACTAAGGCTTCAGTTTTGCAGTCAAGTCTTATAGCCTGGACCTGTACACTCAGACAGAGACCCCTTGGCATCAGTGAGCCTCTGCAAGAGTTCAAGGATCCAATGTAGCAGATCCGATTGCAGGTTCCTGAGCCGTAACCAGCGAAGCAGCTAAAATGGCCACATGTGCAGGACCAAAATACCTGCTTTGTTAGGCATGGATGACTGCAATTTGTGGGGAAACAAAAGTTAAACAAATTTGTTATAGTCTAAATCCTATAAATCCTGCATTTCGCTGCTAAGGGTCTGTTTATTCCCTCATGGATTTAAGAACTCTCTCTAGTGATGTGAATGGAATTTACATGTGTTAATTGCTGTAAGTTGAGAAAAGAATACAAAAGCTGACATATGACACAGGAGAGAGCGGCCAGAATGCCCACTCAAGGGCTCAACAGTAGAATATGAAGCTTTTCACCTTATAACAACCAGTCTGAATCTAGCTTAGGAAGGATGTTATTGGTGAAATTACTAAATGCATAACAGAAAAAGCCAGGCAAGGCTGGCATACATTAAACCTAAACCTTTGTAACTAGACACAGAGATCAAGTCTGTGATACCATATTACATTTCTTGAAGATGACGATATATGTTTGCTTCTAAGAAGTTAAAGGCAAATCAGATATACAATTAACCACTGTGTTAAAATAATCCACTTATCTCCACCATTTAAAGCAGTTTAACAATGCGTTCATTGTGCTTATGAGGTCAGTGAATAAATGAATTCTATAAATAAGATAAGATAATACGGGAGCTGGCTCAATGGAACCTGTCTTGCACAGAGTGAAGAAAGGATGATTAAAATGTTACTCCCCTGGCAACCATCATTTTATCCTTGGAGGTTTCCCCCCTGTTTTAGTTCATATTGGTGAGCACTCTGTCATATCAGCAGACCTAGTAAAGTCAACCCTGGACCCCTGCCATGGTCTGCAGCATCAAGATAGTGAGACTACTTAGATTACTGAGGTGAGTAAATGCTCACCCATCTGTTGTTGGCATCCTTTCATCTGAGAGACACAGTGGGAATTGCAGCCTATGATATAGATGATTTGCAAGGTCTCATGTGACGGAATAGTCCGAGATTTGCATGATTTTGGGCAGTTATTGCAAATGTATGTATATTGGTTGGGAGCTGCTTGCTTCTTACGGGCTCTTTTCTCTTCAAGCTGTAGGAACCAGCTTCTGTCATGGACTTTGATACCCTGATTGAGACGATAGCGCCACTTGTTACGATCACTTGCCAAGATTTCCCATTGGTTAGGATCAATTCCAAATTCCTTCATATTTGGCTTGCATGTGTCTTTATAGTGAAGCTTGTTCTTGTTCCCTCCCTGTATAGCATGCCCTTGGGTATGCATCCAGGAGGGCTGTACAAACTAGCCCTTCATATAAAAGGGTCCAATCCTTCAGGAGACTGGAACGGGCCCAATCCTTCAAGAGACATGTTCTGCTGAGTGCTTTCCACTCCCTTTGACTTCAGTGGGAGCAGAGTGCAGGATGGGCCCTGTAATCTGCAATGTGAATTGTTGTGGAGTAGGACAGTGAATGTCTGGACTCCATCTGGTTTAGAGCTCTGTTAGATCACAGTGCTGACATGAAGGAAGATCATAACGGCTGAAGTTTGATATCCGCGTTCGATGAGAAGAAGAAAAGAGAACAACCAGGTGATTAAACAGGCAGCCCTTGAATTCAAAAATGGCATCTTGGCTTTCTGCAAAATTCTCATAGAAAAGCAATGGCTCCATTGATGGGTGTGTGAATTGGTGTTGATTAGGTATGTTTAGAGCTTAATAAAGGGGCTCCTTTCACTTTCAAGCACAAACTTGGCACAAAAACATAATAGAAATTATTTATCAGCAGCTTTACATTTTCTCTGTGATTTGAAGAAATCACCAAAATGACCCACTAGTAACAAACGTTGTGCTGAGAGATTATAGCAATTTATTAATCTCTATGGCCCTGATCCACCAACGTACTTAGGCATGTGCCCAACTTTAAGCACCTGAGTAGTCCCATTGATTTCAATGGGACTATTCACATGTTTAAAACTAGGCATGTGCTTAAGCACCTTGTTGAAGTAGGGCCCAGATAACCAGTGTAATATGTATAAATTGTTACGAATATATTTCTCTCCACTCAGATAAGTCTGATCCTGCTTCCATTGAAATCAATAGGAATTTTGCCATTGACTTCAATGGGCTCAGGACTGGGCCTATATTTTATTCTATTTTATACACACTCATCACAGTAGTGTTTGAGACCCTTTTTAAAGGGTGATGTGCTCAAGTGATCAATCTTTCTAAAACCAAAACAGAAACAGGTAACTTCTTGTCTTATTTTGCTATAGTTTTTCGTTTTATAAAATGCCTGTTTACTAGGCACAAACCTATTTGGAGGGTCTCCTATATTTTGGTTGTCAAAACTTCTGTTTTGGACTGAATTTCTCCTTATGTACCAGTTCTCATAATATTTCTTTGACCATTTGGAATGTACAAAACTTTCCTGATTTAAAATATTTTTAAAATACTTCCATTACTCAAAACTGGCTCTCCTCCTTTAAAAAAAAAAGTGAGTTATTGGTGGATAATCTGATCTAATATCGTCTTTCTGGACCACCAATGATGATAACATAATAATTATACATCTTTCATTTGAGGATCTCGAAATGCTTTGCAAACATTAGTTCATTAATCATTACAAAGCTTTGAGGTAAATAAGGGACAAACCAGTTCAGGAATCACTTCTGCCATACAGCCAAGTCCAGAGGGAACAGAGCAGCTGTTTAATAAAGCACATCAACATCACAGATCAGTGAAGAACAGGAAATAAAAATGCATGTTTTAGGTAGGTAAAATATAATTAATTGCTTTAGAATGCGGATATAATACTGGGGCTAATACTGCTCATTTTAGGAAAGTGCCCTGAGATCTTTATTAACTACAATTGGGCAGGACCATCCTTTTATGCCTCATGTAAACATTAGCATCCCTAACAGCACAGTACTACTGTACGCCATGCTGGGGCACTGGTTTGATTCTGAATGAGAAGGAAGAGTGACACCAAATGAAATACCAGTGCTATTTCCTGCCAGTGCCTAGGTAGTGTATAGGAAATCTCCAGATGAGTTCTGATTTGAGCTTGTGCCTCATCTGGCTTTGCTGTGTGCTTTAATATGATCCAAATACAAGGCGGTATGGCTTTCAGCATAGTAACTAGGTCTCAGTCAGCAGACAATGCACAAGAGTGGGAGGAGGACTTGGCCAATGCCAGTAGAACAAGTAAAGAAGTTTTCTTGCTTGCTGTTAAAGTAGAGTACTCTGCACCAGTTCTCTTCATAGGGCTGTCAATGTGAACCCTGTGAATGCAGAATATGTCTTTCAATGCAGTTTGAGGTTATCACCTCCAGTCTCTGTCTAATGATCTAACCACTGAGCTATCCCTCAGATAGCTAATGATCTGTTCACCACTGTCCACTCCTTGCCTCCCCTTTGGCCTCTGAATTTGTTTGCTCAGAATTTGAAGTCCCATTAGGTAGGGCAAGGGCTTATTTTTGCCCGAAGAGCCACTAGTTAACTCAAACATTAGGTCTGAAACCTTCTCCACTGATGATACTAACTAATCAGAGGTGGTTATTGGTATTGGTACTAGTTGTATTGTGTTAGCCATTGTTAATCCCCTCTCTGAACAGTGCTGACGGTTTAAGATGATTAATTGGTGCATAAATACTTAAGAAAGAAATTGAAAAATAGTGCTGATAATTTAAAGGCAGAGAGAGCTGCTCAGACTAAAGCCATGGATGGAATGGCATTCTAAACTATAGTGCAGGTCACTAGCAGTTAAGAAACTGTTTCATATGTTGTTAAGGTCTAATGCCACATGTTTTCAGCATGATGCTGCCAGGATTTGACTCTTACAGTTAACAAACTACATGGCATCTATGAATCCGACAAGGACTGCCACTGTAATGACTGTTACAGGACAGAATATAGTTTTGTACGGTACTTTCATATTCAAAGGAAGCCAGAGTGCTTTACAGAGCAATGAGATAGACTCCCATAATGCAGCTGTTGTGCAGACAGAGATAGAAAATATTATGCACTCAGCAAATAGCTCAGTGCCTAGCCTTAGACATTAGAATATACGTGGTAGGACCTGTTCCTTCTAGGAAATGCTGAGCCCCCTCAAATATAAAATTGACTTCAATAGGAGCCAAGGGTTCTGTCCTGTCCTCTGCTTTTTCCAAAATATGCTCTGGAATCTTTAATTGCCACCTCAGCCACCAACAGATGTGGATAATAAGGACATTATTAATTAATAATACTGACTCCAGTATAAGATAGCACTTCTAACAGTACTAAAGCGTCTTCCATTCCTGGAACTAAAGTATAGTGTCAAAAGTCAGCAAGAGTCCAAGTCCCTGTGTGAGACCCAAGCCCCCAATCATCAGTCTGAGTGTAAGTGCTGCCGGTATGAGTATATTGGCCCCAGCTGGCCACAAGATTTTTGTTGAAACTTTTTTGATTAGATGGAAAATTAGATTTTTGACTAAATGAAAAATGTTGTGGAAAATGTCTGTCTTCCTCTGAAAAATGAAAATTGTTTGAGGAAAATCAAAAGCAGAGTATTTTTGGTTTTCAGCCAAAATATTTTCAGGTTGTGTTTTTTGACAAAGTAAAATTTTTCCGCTGATTTTTTTCATGGTAATTCCCCCTTCTTCCCATTTTCCTCCAGCTCTAATATTGACACTGAAAAGTCTATTGCCAAGCACATTAAACTGAAACCTTTATTCTGAAACAAACCAAGAAGCAGAAAGGGTACATTCATGGAGGGTGGAGTTTGATAGAATTTAAATTATATAGAAGAAGATATGAATTAAAAAGGTGATTTGAAGGCGGATATGCTGCAGGCAAAAGGAGCAAAGATCTATTCAAACTGATTGGCATGTTGCCTTGTCAACTGTGTAAACCTTAAACAAAATCAGTACATATGCGAGACTATCTGCAGAGCATTTCCCAAGTTCAGACAATAGAAATGTGGAAGAATCTGGTAACACTTATCTGTTCAGCAAATCTACATTTGAGATCTGTAGTCAAATTGGGGATCTGACAACCATGCTAATGATAGCTTCCAATAAAGCGTGCAATCAAAGCATTGCATCTTTTTGTTGGAGATAGCAGGGCCATTGTAAAGAAAATTACATATTTGGATGATAGTTGGAATACCTATAGTGCACACATTTTTCTCAAGAAGACACCAGTCCTATAGTACAATGTATACCAGGGGTCGGCAACGTTTGGCACGCGGCTCGCCAGGGTAAAAACCCCGGCGGGGCCGGGCCGGTTATTTTCTTCCGTCGCC